GGGAGTAAAGATATTTTCCCGCTATTTCCAAATTCTTTTTTAAACCTGGTTAGGGTTAAGAACCGGGACTAAAGTTAATAGCACTGAATATTGAAATTCGTTGCATATATGTTTCTAAAATAGTAAATAATGCATTATAAATTCTAATTAACATATGTAAATCCCACATGCATGATTTAAAACTTTTAAAAATTCTAATAATCATATATAATTAGCATATGCATGATATTAAATTATTAAAAATTGTAACTAACATATGTAAATCCCACATGCATGAATTAAAACTTTTAAAAATTCTAATAATCGTATATAATTAGTATATGCATGATATTAAATTGTTAAAATTGTAATTAATCATATATAACTAGCATATTCAATACATCCAAAATAGTTTACAACAATTACGGCAATAGATCGGCGGTGACGGTTGTCCGCACGTACTTTTTCCTCACTATTGTTCCTTCCTTGTGATCGCTACGTGAGTAAGGGGTGTCTTCGTTTGATAGGAGGATGCTAGGGTCAACCGTCACCGTGAAAGGGGGTTGCCCATCAAACTGATCGTAATCCTCGTCAGTCTTGTCCTCTACTCCGACGATTTTTCTTTTGCCTGGGAGAACCACGTGGTGTTGCGGCTCGTCAGGCCCTTTGCCCTTCTTTCCTTTGCTAGACATGTCCTTCACGTAAAAAACTTGCGTTACATCATTGGCAAGGACGAAAGGTTCGTCCGAGTATCCAACCTTGTTAAGGTCAACCGTTGTCATCCCACTGTCATCAATCGTTACGCCTCCACCAGTCAACCTAACCCATTGGCACCGGAACAGAGGGACCTTGAGAGGTCCATAGTCAAGTTCCCATATCTCCTCGATGGCACCGTAATACGTGCCAGTTGTACCATCGTGTCCCATGGCATCGATACGAATACTGCTCTGGTTCGTGCTCTTCATGTCTTGGGCTCTTGTGTAGAATGTGTACCCATTGATCTCATATCCCTGGAATGTCGCGATCGAGCCAGATGGACCCCTCGCCAGGAAGGCCAGTTGCTGGTTAATCGTCTCGTTACCCATGAGATGTTGTCGCAGCCATGCGGGGAAAGTATCAATGTGATGCCGTGTAATCCATGCATCGGACTTACCGATGTTTCTGGCGCGAACTAGAGCCAAGTGCTCCTCGATGTAAGGAGCCACCAATGAAGATTGTTGTAAAACCGTGAAATGGGCTCTACAGAATAAATTGTTGTCTACTGTCATTATAGCTTTCCTTCCGAGAGTCCCCTTCCCCGTAGTCTCCCTTCATGGCGTGATTCAGGTACCCCGATTGGGCGAAGGTCTTCAATAAATTCTACGCAGAATTCAATGACCTCCTCTGTTCCATACCCCTTAGCGATGCTTGCCTCTGGACGAGCACGGTTACGAACATATTTCTTCAGAACGCCCATGTACCTCTCGAAAGGAAACATGTTGTGTAGGAACACAGGCCCGAGAATACCGATCTCTTTCACTAGGTGACAAAGCAGATGCGTCATTATATTGAAAAATGAAGGTGGAAATATCAACTCAAAGCTGACAAGACATTGCACCACATCATTCTGAAGGGCTTCTAACCTATCCGGATCGATGACCTTCTGCGAAATTGCGTTCATGAAAGAACATAGCTTTGTTATTATTGCCCGGACATTGTCTGGGAGGATACCCCTTATTATAACTGGTAGCAGCTGTGTCATCAACACGTGACAGTCATGAGACTTTAGGTTTGTGAACTTCTTCTCCTTCGTGCTTATTATTCGCTTTATATTCGTGGAGTATCCAGACGGTACCTTGATGCTCTCCAAGCATTGAAACATACTTTCCTTCTCTGCCTTGCTAAGAGTGTAGCTGGCTGGACTCAAGTAATGGCTGCCTTTCTCCTTTGGTTCCGGGTGAAGGTCGCCGTGTTGTTCCATATGCTTCAGATCATTACGCGCTTCCAGTGTATCTTTCGACTTTCCATATACACCTAGGAAGCCAAGAAGGTTTACGCAAAGGTTCTTAGTGAGGTGCATCACGTCGATTGCGTGGCGGACGTCCAAGAATTCCCAATAGGGTAACTCCCAAAATATGGAGTTTTTTTTCCACATCGCCGCGTGACCATCTTCGCTCTCTATAGGCTGGCTGCCAGGCCCCTTTCCAAACACTATTTTAAGATCTTTAACCATAGCAAACACTGTTTTCCCGCTGCGATGTTTAGGCTTCGTACGGTGGTCCGCCGTATGTTCAAAGTACTTGCCTTTCTTCCGTACCGGGTGGTTTGCTGCAAGGAATTGACGATGACCCATGTACACAACCTTCCTACAGTGCTTAAGATACGTACTTTCTATTTCATCCATACAGTGAGTGCAAGCCTTGTACCCCTTGTTGGACTGCCCGGATAGGTTGCTAAGTGCAGGCCAATCGTTGATGGTTACGAACAGCAGCGCTCGTAGGTTAAACTCCTCCTGTTTGTCCTCGTCCCACACGGGGACACCTTCCTTCTTCCACAACAGTTTAAGATTTTCGACCAGTGGTCTTAGGAACACATCGATGTCGTTACCAGGTTGCTTGGGGCCTTGAATAATAATCGGCATCATTATGTACTTCCTCTTCATGCATAGCCAAGGGGGGAGGTTATAGATACACATCGTAACGGGCCAAGTGCTATGGCCGCTGCTCATCTCTCCAAAAAGATTCATGCCATCCGTACTTAAAGCAAACCGTATGTTTCGTGCGTCCTTTCCAAAGTCTTTAAATTTTCTGTCGATGTTTCGCCACTGCGAACCATCTGCGGGGTGTCTCAGCATCCCGTCCTGTTGACGTTCTTCAGCGTGCCAACGCATCATTCTAGCATTCCCCTTGTTCCTGAACAAACGCCTTAGCCGTGGTATTATAGGGAAATACCACATCACCTTAGCAGGAATTCTCTTCTTCGTTAGCTGCCCGTCAACCTCACCTGGATCATCTCGTCTAATCTTGTATCGTAGTGCTTTACAAATAGGGCATGCTTCTAGGTTCTCGTACTCCTCACAGTGATATAGGATACAATCATTCGGACATGCGTGAATCTTCTGAACTTCCAGTCCTAGAGGGCAGACTATCTTCTTAGCCTCGTACGTTGTCTCGGGCAATTTGTTTCCCTCCGAAAGAATGTTCTTGACGAGTTTCAATAAATCGCCAAATGCCTTGTCACTAACACCATTTTTTGCCTTCCATTGCAAGAACTCCAGAGTGGTATCCAACTTTTTTGTGCCCCTGCTCGCAACCTGGGTACAACGACGTTCTGTGGTCCTGTAACATCTTGTTCAATTTATGGGCCCCCTTTTCACTTTCGCAGTCCTCCTTGGCATCCTGCAACATCTGACCAAGATCATCCGCAACGTCGTTATAATCAGCATCTATGTCCTCCTCGCCCGTTTGATTTCCTTCAAATCCAGCGTACTGAGCAAAGTCTAGAATATTGTCGTCTTCCACTTCATCTTCTTCCATTTCAACCCCTTGCTCTCCGTGGGATGTCCAACAATTATAGCTTGGCATGAACCCCGACTCAAACAAGTGGAAATGAATAGTCCTGGATGCAGAATACTCCTTCTGATTCTTATACTTATTGCATGGACAACAAATAAAATCCTTCTGCTTGTTAGCTTCGGCCACTCTCAAAAAATAATGCACGCCGTCAATAAACTCTTTGGACCACCGGTCAGCGTACATCCATTGCCGATCCATCTACATGAAATGAAAAAAAAAATCGTACACAAATAATCATTCGTACAATAATGACAGTCATACAATAATGATAAAATAATCACAAACTCTTTCAACAGTCATACAATAATGACATATCATTATTCATACAAAAATTATAAAATATTCTACCAAATAATTCTTATTTATTATTTTTTATGTTTTAAATTCTTTTAATTTTCAATTTAGTTTGTTTTCTTTTATTTAAGATTAACTTTCATTATATTTTCCTACTCAACTATTTTATAAAACCTTATTTAGCAAATAAACAAAATTTCTATATATTCTTTCTTTTCCCACACAAATTTTCTCTCTCATCAACTTACAACAAAATTTTGGAGACAAAAAAGTGTGTAAAACATAGCTCCAAATGTAATATGACCAAAAAAAACATTGGAGGATGAAGTTGCTAACCTTTTAGGCACCTCCGATTTATATATAATCACCAAAGTAAATTCACTATAAATTTTGGCATGACCTCCCCTCATTTTTAAAGAAATTTTGAAGCTTGCTCGGGCTGGAGGAGGAAGAAGATATATATAAAGGGGTGGGACTTTAGTCCCGGTTTGTGTTACCAACCGGGACTAAAAATTAGTCCCGGTTGGTAACACAAACCGGGACTAAAGATCCCGGGGGGGCCTGACAAGCCCTGACAGCATTTGAACCGGGACTAAAGATCATCTTTAGTCCCGATTGGTGTTACCAACCGGGACTAAAGATCAAATATGCCCGTTACCCTTTTTAACCGGAACTAAAGATCATCTTTAGTCCCGGTTTTTGTTGTAACCGGGACTATCGTGGAATTCGGCCAACCGATGAAAGATGGTTTCTCCACCAGTGCTAGTACAATGCAAGTCACCCTATAACAACTTCCACGCATGACATCGGGCACTTTAAATTATTCATCATCACTGTAAAAACGCATGGTTTTAATTAATAATCTTGTAAGCCTTTAACTAGCCTACTTGCACCGGAGAAATGGCCGCGGTTGGCGAGTCCACCCCTACAAAACCAAGAAACTGCGTGAAAACTGAGCCAAAAAAAATTGTGTGCACGTCAGTACGTGGCCTCGAACCGTGCAAGCTCACGCTCACTCCAGCTTGCTCCCCACCAGATGTCGCCTCCTCAAGCTCGCACCGTTAATGCACGGCCTCGGCGCCCTCTCGGCCCCGGCGCCCCGCGCGCGCGCGCTCCCGCGCGTCAAGTTGGCCACCACGCGCATGCACAATTCACATGCACAAATCCACCGCGCCATCCACGTCGGCAATGGCTTCCGATGGCGGCAGCTCATTGCTCTTTTTCGCGAGCTATAAGTATCAAGGCCAGAGCAGAGCAGAGCAAAGACCAAAACCGCAAGCAGAGCCTGTGATCCAGTGGGCACTGAGCACCAGCAAGATCGTCGCCATGAGGACGTCGTCGTCGCTGCTCGTTGCCGCCGCTCTCGTTTTCGTCGTCGTCGTCGCCGAGACGCTCCCGGCGGCGGAGGCGACGTACAGGCCGATCGGCAACACCAGCAACCTGGTGATCCTGCAGGTGGGCCGCTTCTCGGTGCTCGTCTACGACCTGTCGCACCGCAAGAGCCTGGTGTTCGTCTCCGTCGTCAGCGGCGAGACCGAGGCGGCGGTGGGCGGCGGCACCAACTACCGCCTCGTGATCTTGGCGGAGACGACGCCCGGCGGGAGCAAGGCCAAGTTCCAGTGCGTCGTCTGGGGCGTGCCCGGCTCTCGCGCCAACACCTGGAAGCTGCTCAGCTTCAAGGCGATCTAGACGTGTACGGCGATCTAGCTGGTTCAATTTGATCAGCGTACAAGGATGCTCATGCATGCATAAGTTGCCATTTTGTTTCTCGAGTTATAAGTTAGTTTCTGTGTCTCCGCGATATATAATTTCCTTGGATTGGGAATAAGCTGTCCCACTAGAAAGGAGACTGCATTTTGTTATGATTAATTTTTGTGCCACAAGCGAATTAAACCATGTCGATGCTAATTAATGTAACCTTATCACATTATGCATGATAAATGAAAATGTGATTATATCGAAACACTTACTATATCGTAATACACCGTGCTAGCTGGAACATCATTTTGTTACCACACCAAAATATTACTCGGTATACTTTCTGGAGGGACGGACGGACATGTTCATAATATATATTGTCCTTGGTCAAAATACTGATGATTAGTTTGAGGTTAAAAAACATTCATATAATACATAGATGATCCGTAGAAATTAAGTAGTTTCATGTGCGCGGTGAAATGAATCGCACCAAATTAAGGCCAAATTTTTGTTGTGTATCTCATGGCAGAGGCTAGCCGGAGATGCAAGCCGTTTTCATTATCTTGAAAAAAATATTCAACCCACCTCTTTAAAAGTGCAGTCATTCTCCTTCCACCTCTTCTCACCGTGTGCATGCATAAGGTCGGGCACTCTTTCGTGGGTGCATAATCACCATAGAATTTAGTAATTTCTCCTTATATGGGTCATATATGTGCTTTATCCTAGATCAACCCACCCAACCGGTAGTGATCAGCGGATATATGTATCTCTTCTTGTTTAATTTGCCATGTACAGCTGTAATTCTAGTTTCACCCATCTCGACCTAGCTTGCTTGTTAATCACGTCCAAAAGACTGTTCAGAAACAGTCCGAATTCAACTGATCAATCTATGACCTGTAGGTTCTCGCAGCCGGTCCACGTTCTGAACATGGAGACATGTGAATTCTTTTCGGTGTTTGAGAAACCCAGCTCATTAATTTGTTTACGTCCTTTGATGGTTTTGTATGGCAGGGAGCCAGGGAGAGAGGAATAGAGCCTAATGCCATGTTTAGATTCCAATTTTTTAAAAAAAATTTAACTTTTTTTTGTCACATTAAACTTTCCTACATACACAAACTTTCAACTTTTCTGTCACATCGTTTCAATTTCTTTAAACTTCTAATTTTTACGTGGAACTAAACATAACCTAACATTGTAATGGCCAATGTGCATTCATTTCCTCTACGTGAAGCAAAGAGGCTTTTCAATGGCGATGAACTGGTGATCTCTAGGCCAGTGCAGTAGGCGAAGAAACACATATCGATCCGATGATATATATCCGAGGATTTAGATTGAGTACGTGCGTGGTACACGCGTCGCGCCTGGAAATGACGGGTGTTCTCGGAATCTCGGACCATGCTAGCTCGGGATCGACTACAAGGAGCAGTGAGAGACATTCGCTTCACTCGACAAAAGGGAAAAAGAGGACAGCTGCGTTGCATTTTAGGCTGTGTTTGCGTAGAGGAGAAAAGAAGAGAAGAAAACAAATACATAAGATTAATTACTTGTGTATAATTAATTTAATATTAATTATTTTAAACTTAAAAATTGATTATTATATATTATTATAGCGACTTTGCTAACAAAACATACAATTTATTAGTTTGAAAATATGTACGTAAAAAATGAGAGATTTATTCTCTCTTTTCTCATCCCAATGAACGTACCCTAAGGGCCTCATCGTGTCTTATGAGCAGCTCGCAAAATTAAAATTCTATAACTTAATTTTTGATGTTTTGTTAATGCAGTTTCTTTTTCAACGTTAACTTTTTAGTCACTAAGAACATATATATATATATATATATATATATATATATTCATAAATTAAACTGCTATACTACTCCCTTCCATACGGGTATTCTACTACTCCCATCGATACAGATATTAAGGAAGTAGTAAAATGAAACAAGGAAAAGTTGTGATTTTGTTCGAAAGATAAAAACAGTATCAAAATTAAGTATCAAAATTAAGTAGCAGAAGGTTACGATTAATTGAAAAGATAATATTTTAGGATAAATTTTAAGAACTAAAAATTCATGTTATATTGTTTGGACGGATGTAGGAGCCATTTTCTGCCGTAATTTTCTCAGCTTCTCTTTCTGTGTGCTTTTGCCCTTGTTGTCCTGGACGGTGGAGACACCGGTTGGCTGGCAAGGGGAGCCAGCGAAGCCCATGGTTTTCTGCCTGCAGGCTGCAGCAGAGCAGGTGGGTCGGCCGTTTCCCCGCGCGTCATCTCGTGTACCGCAGGCGCGTGGCGTGCCAAGTTCCACAGCTCGATCGACCACCGTGCCGACGCGAACCAACCCCATCCACCGCGCGCGGCCGCCGGCACGATCGAACTACCGCCTCTGCTCGCGCGGGGCGGCCGGCTCGCCGCGGCGAGCATCGGCGCGCGCGCGCACATGCAGTGCAATGGCGAGGCCGAGGAATGCCGGCCCACTGCCGACAAGCCGGCTAGCTTGGTAAGCTACTGAAGACTTGCATCAAGTTCCAACACACGTAGCACAAAAATTAAACGACATTCCCCGAGAGCACCGCCCCGTCAAGCTGGCTAACAACCTACGTGATGATCAAAATGAGAAGAAAAAGAAGAAAAAAACAACAACAACAACAACAACGTCAGGTGGACGCCTCGCGTTAAACTTTTCCCCACACTATATATTCACCTCTAGCTAGCCACACAAACTCTCCACATCTCCCTACAAATACATATGCAAGCATCGCTCAAGCACTGATCGATCGCAATGGCCAGATCGTCGCCGCTGTTCCTGCTGGGAGCCGCGCTCGCCGTGGTCGCGGTGGCGGCGGCGACGCTCCCGGCAGCGACGGAGGCCGCCGGGTGGGCGCCGGTGGCGGACGTGCAGGAGCTGGTGATCCAGCAGGTGGGGCGGTTCGCGGTGCTGGTGTACAGCCTCGCGCACCACACGGACCTGGCCTACGTGGGCGTGGCGCGCGGCGAGACGGAGGCGGCGGCGGGCGGCGCCGGCGGCACCAATTACCGGCTGGCCGTCGCCGTCACCAAGCCCGACGGGAGCGCCGCGCAGTACGAGTGCCTGGTGTGGGGCGTGCCCGGCTCCCGCCTCGACACGTGGAAGCTCCGCAGGTTCAGGAGGATACAGTTGCCCTGAAGTACGTACGCTGTACACACGACCCGATCGATCGAACGACATGCCAAACTCAAATACTCAATACATACAACCCATTACGACCTCATTATACATCGATATCGGTTAATTCAAGCTTGGATGAGCCGAAATTAAACTGTACTAGTAGCTAGCATGATCGTGCTCTCTTTTCATTCATGTTCCGGTGTTCGTGGCCATTTCTCGCACAAGAGGTGGGCATGCAATAAGGTTTCTCCTTTGTCAGGAGGTCACATATATTTTTTAGTAGTATCATTTTCACACTCGAGTTATATATTTGCATAATGAACTAATTAATCTCTCTGTTCTATATTACAAAGCATTTTGCGTTTGTCTAAAATCAAATTTCTTTGGATTTGATCTAGAAAAATATGCTAAAGGTATGTAACCTATTGGTTGCAGTGAACTGAGTAGTACCCTAAGGTCTTGAGTTCAAATATCCATATGAGCAAATATAGCAGCACACATAATGTTTTATCACACACATCCTCCGTTAAAAAAAAATACCGTTTAGCTATGTAACTACTTCTAGGGTTCATCAAACATTCGAACCGTTTTGGGTGAGGTTACCGTCATCCTACGGTTTGGTGATTATCGCGGTAACCGTGAAAATCGTGTGGTTACCGCGAAGTGTGGTTTCAAAAACTAAAATAGTTTGGGCACATGATAACCACGATAACCGTATGATTTTGTAAACCCTAATTACGTCTAGATACATAGTTAGGGGTTGATTTTTTCTAGGACGGGGAGTAAAATATATTTATGAGTTGTGCTGGGCCAAAACTTAAATTAGGATGGGCACATACGCTTTGCACGAAGTGGGCCGATGTCCAAGGGTTAGTGGGCTATATATTGGTTCGGATAGGATCCGGTCCGGTCACAGTTTGATCAGCACTTCCACCGTTCCACAGTTTCACCTTCTTTCTACACTTGATCGAATCAGAAGTTCAGAACGTGTGCACGCGCATAGTCACCGGCTTGTCTTCGACCAATGTTATCGAGCTGTCAAGCCAAAGGCACGGTGAAATAGAGTATATGCACTCGCATCAACTTGCAGTGGTAGAAAAGGACAACACCTCTCGAGACTCGAAGCAGTTTATGAGCTTCCTCCTCGTCGTCGTCAGGCCATTCTAGAGTTCCAGCAACAGTAGCGCGATGATGGATGTGAATTACAGTTGACAATGAGAATTGGCAAACAGTTGACTATGACAATAGGCTTCCAATGAGCAGCACATCGTTAATTAGTTTTTGTTACTGTGTTGGCCACTGCCGACGTCCTAGGATGACAGCTGGCTATGGTATGTACGGTCTAGTAACTGTTCAGTAAGAAGGCAATGTATCAGGTGCACACAGCCCATTAGGTGCACACATGCACTCGTGCAACGGCATCCCTCCGATCTCAATCCAAAGGCTAGCATCCTGGTTAAGGAATTTTGCAAAAAAACGCCCGCCTACCGTAAGTTTGTAAAAAAATCCCTGACGAGGCTTTTGTCTTCTCCATCTTCGTATGTAAATCTTCATCTCTGTCAAGCAATGAAGCAACTGAACGGGGAAGCCCAGATCTGAAACAGGCAAGAACAAAAACAAAGAATCAAGCAGCAGGTGGCGTACATGTTCTCTCGAAAATCAAATCTGTAATTTCTCTCATGATCTCATCTCCCAAGCTGGCCTTGTAGGTGGCCGACGGTAGCCACATCGGCAATGGCAGCGGTGCAGCGGCTGCATGGCTGCGGAAGCATCGGCAGCGGTGGAGGCGTCAACAACCAGAAATCAAGCACCTACACCTCCAAAATCTCTGTTTTCGCTTGAGACAAGATAGAATCGGTGGAGAAGGAATGCATGGGGAAGGGAATCCGAGGAGTCGAAGCTTCGTGCCGCCGCAGAAGGACGATCTCCATCGATCTGTTCGATCGTGGGATGGATAACTAAAGGTCAAGGAGTCTTGTGCAAATGTACATGCAAGCGGTGGGCGTATTTTTGCAAAATTGCTCCACCTGCTTTATACCCTTTGGATTGAGATCGGAGGGATGCCGTTGCACGAGTGCATGTGTGCACCTAATGAGCTGTGTGCACCTGATACATTGCCCAGTAAGAAAAGCTTACGGGAAACTATTCTAATCCCTTATGGGATGTTCCTTTATTTGCTCAAAAACCATCTAAACGGTTATGAAAAATTCTGAAAAAATTTGACAACATTCATACAACACATATATACAACTCCACAAAATGTTAAGTCCAAACTCAACTCACACGTCGAGATATAAAAAAGACAAATTCAGCGTATGAATAGTAGCATACTGTTTATATCTAAATTTGTCTTTTTTGTTTCTCGATGTGTAGATCGAATTTGAACATGAATTTTGGTGGACTAGTAGGTATCATTATACTCTACATTATCAATTTTTTTTAGAATTTTTCATAACTATTTGCATCAAATTTGGAAGAAAAAGATATATGAGGGGATATCCCCTCGAGGGATTAGAATCCACTCCCAAAGCTTACAGTTGTAGTACTCTGTTTAACATTGGAGTTCTGGCTTCGAGGTGTGTACTTGGCCAATAGAAATTTTCGATACCAAAGACTAGCCTGAATTTTTAGTTCTTAAAATTTATCCTAAAATATTATCTTTTCAATTAATCGTAACCTTCTGCTACTTAATTTTTAATTTTGATACTGTTTTTATCTTTCGAACAAAATCACTTGTTTCATTTTACTACTTCCTTAATATCTGTATCGATGGGAGTAGTAGAATACCCGTATGGAAGGGAGTAGTATAGCAGTTTAATTTATGAATAAATATTTATATATATATATATGTTCTTAGTGACTAAAAAGTTAACGTTGAAAAGAAACTGCATTAACAAAACATCAAAAATTAAAATTTGATGCAAATAGTTATGAAAAATTCTGAAAAAAATTGATAATGTAGAGTATAATGATACCTACTAGTCCACCAAAATTCATGTTCAAATTCAATCTACACATCGAGAAACAAAAAAGACAAATTTAAATATAAACAGTACGCTACTATTCATACGCTGAATTTGTCTTTTTTATATCTCGACGTGTGAGTTGAGTTTGGACTTAACATTTTGTGGAGTTGTATATATGTGTTGTATGAATGTTGTCAAATTTTTCCAGAATTTTTCATAACCGTTTAGATGGTTTTTGAGCTAACGAGGAAACATCCCCTCAAGGGATTAGAATAGTTTCCCGTAAGCTTTTCTTACTGAACAGTTACTAGACCGTACATATGTTTACTGGGCGGCAAGTACTTGTACTTTTTCAATCGTTACAAAAGCTTCAATTTCGTCCAATAGCATTTTCGCATTTCTTTTTTTAATCCTTTTTCTATATGCAGCTGGTAAGTTGCTAACTCGTCGAAGGTTCATCATCTTTCTGTAAGTTGCCGTAGTTGGGTAAAGTTTCCTTTTACTTAACCCCAAACTACGTCTTGGTGTAACCTTGCAAGCATTTGAAGTTTTTCAACTCCAGTGCTTCAATTTCAACAATACAAGAGCAATAGTTAGCCAAATACAGTTCTCCAGTATGTAACTCTGTATATTCTGACAGAGAAAATGTCCATGCTAGATAGTCATTATGAACGAAGAGATTTACACGATCATGCATTGATGCGTATGCCCAAGCACGCAAGTGGTTAATGTCATGTGGTATAGTGCATCTCTTTAGTAAAGTATCAGGCGTTGACATGAACACCTGACGGAGCAAGTAGCTAGTCTCCTTATTCTGTAAAAACGACTCGACTGACGAGCCGTGGACTTCATCTTCATGTGCAAGCTGTGCATTTTATGTAATTTGTGGCCGGGCACGTTTTGTCAAGTGCATGCCTAGTTAGATCAACGCTAGTCAACTGGCACTGGGTATCTAAAAAAATACACAACTGGATGATCATAAATTACACCTGAAGTTCAAATGGGGTCGCAGAGAAAGGCCAAACTTCATTGTCTCGCAAAACATCTCTTCTATGTTATGTTCAGTTCTAAGCAATTCTCTTTTGAAGGAAAGTTCCAAGTTCCAAGTAGGCTCACTACTTAAAAAAAAACATTTTTAGAATTAGGTGGGCAGGCCGCCCTAACAAAACGGCCGCAAAAAATGTAGCCATTTCCACATGCAGGTGTGCTAACCAAGCAATTGTGCAAATGTTTTCCACGGGTGACCAGCTTAACCAAACTGCTTGCAGCCTTATGGGGCTATCTGCGCAGGCGAACCACTTAAACGTCCACATGTGAAAACATGTATATTTCTATAGGTGATCACTTTAGGCTAGTGAAATGCAGAAAATTCAGTTTTATGAGTGGTCGGTGAACAGACATATCTCTTTTGTCATGTTGCACAGACAGTTGCCCTTATGGACAACATGTATAGTCAATTTTTTTAGACTTTTTTTATTTTTAAATTTTATTAATAGACTATTCCAAAAGGTATTTCTGAAAACTGAACCTTTTGGCCACATCAGCCGAGTGGCTGGCGTGTCCAAACAATATTGTGTGTGGCGTGACAGAGTTATTTGGCTAGTCTGGCGTGGCCAAAAGATTCAGATTTGAAAATACTTTTTCGAATGGTCTATTAATAAAATTAAAAAAAATAAATAAGTCTAAAAAAAATTGTACAGTCCGAGGGGGCATCAACGAAAGTTTGATTTTTTTTTTCTTATATAATGCTTATAAATGATTGGGCCAATTCAATTTTAACTTAAAGTGATTTGAAGAAGTTTGGGGACACGATCTTACCGCGGTGTCAATAACTAGAGTAATGAACACAACCCAAATTAAAAGAAAAAAAAACTCCCGGACCAGTAGGCTGAGTTTAAGGAGAAGGGGATAAAGAAGATTGGGAAGATACATAAAACGAGGTGAGCTACTAGTGCATGATTAATTGAGTATTAATTATTTTAAATTTCAAAGATATATTAATACGATTTTTTAAAGCAACTTTCCTATAATTTTTTTTTTTGCAAAAAACACACCATTTAGGAGTTTGGGAAGCGTGCGCGTGGAAATCGAAACAAACAAACTCACTTTCACCTCTCCTAGAATGCAGCAAAAGCACAACTTCAAAACATCATGTAGCAGTAGAGTATATGTTCAATTTAATTTGGAATTACAATGCAAGTTTTCCGGTAAACCATTTTAAGCACTCGAGTGGACGCCCACCTATTTTTTGCATATCAATTCAATGGTTATGAAAAAATTTTCAAATTTTTTTTGATAAGATAGATTAAATATGAAATATATCACTTCACAAACATACAAGTTTAAATTTAAATTCTACAAGTTTTTTAGAAAATAACAAATTTAATTATGAGTATATACGTATACTAGTTAGAGTTTAGTTTGTCATTTTTATTACAACTTGTAGAAATTAAACTTGCATATTTGTTGAGTGGTATATCACATATGAAACTATGTTGTAAATTATTTTAAAAAACTTTTTAATAACTATTTAGTCAATATGTAAGAAACAGGTAGACATAAACAACAAGAAGATTAAATTAGGCCCTGTTTAGATTCCAACTTTTCTCTTCGAACTTTTAGCGTTTTTTAGATCAAAGGCTTCACACCTGGCTTTACTGAGATAAAGCGTAACAAGGTAACTTCTAACTTTTCCGTCACATCGAACTTTAATACACACAAACTTACAGCCTTTTTATCACATCGTTTCAATTTCAAACTTTCAATTTTAACGTGGAACTAAACACAACCTTAATCTCCAAGTTTTCCAACCATCAGGAGGCTCTGGCTACATCATCATAGTCATAGATGGAAACCAGAAACAAGCTGGAAACTTCTTCGGTCAAACAGGCGCTAAGCTATACAGTATATTGCTTATATGCAATTGACGTGACGCTCCTACTGTTTGGTCAAACAATTAAATAGATACATAGTTGCATGATGCATACTTCTTTGCTTGGCAAACCGTAACAAGTGTGACCACGTAAAATACGTACACGGTCATTGCTAGCTGTTCTCGTGTGCTGATTTTTTTTTCCCTTTAGAAACGAAGCCTGTGTTAATCTCATCACTTGAAGCATTGCACTATAAATAGGCTGTGTTGATAGAACTCTTCCTGCAAATTCTCAACGTGAACGTACGCAGTACGCTCTAGCCTCTAGCATAACACACACATTGACACACATAGCACAAGCTGACAGCAATCCACTGAACGATTAGCAACGTAGTACACATACATACACGACATGAAACCGTCGCTTCTTCTCCTTGCTCTGCTCGCCACGTTCGTCGTTGCCATTGCCAATGCCGATGACTACACCACTGCCGCGCCAGCGCCAAGCCCAGAGGCAGAGGCAAGCCCGCCGTCTCCACCGACGGAGGCCAGCCCGCCGCCGCTTGCGCCGCCACCGTCGGTTACAAGCTCTCCACCACCGCCGGCGGCCGGCCCTCTGATGCCTCCGCCACCGCCACCGCCGTCGGTCACAAGCTCTCCACCACCACCACCACTACCACCACCACCACCACCACCGGCGGCCAGCCCTCCGCCTCCGCCACCATCACCGCCACCGCCGTCGCCGGTTAAGAGCTCTCCACCGCCACCGCCGGCGTGGTCGCCCGTGACGAACGTGAACGACTACACGATCCAGCAGGTGGGGAAGTTCGCGGTGCAGAGCTACTGCCTCAACACTGGGGCGAAGCTGGTGTACGTGAACGTGGTGAGCGGGCAGACGCAGCCGTGCAGCGGCGGCGGTAGCAACTACCAGCTGGTGATCAACGTCGCCGCCGGCGTGAGGACGGCGCAGTACAGCGTGTTCGTCTGGGGCATCCTCGGGACAACCACCTGGAAGCTCTGGTCGTTCACGCCCAAGAACTGATCGATCGATCATGGCAGCTAGGCACACGTTGAGTGTGGCCGTACGTAAACGTACGCGTCAAACTCAACAATGTGTTGGCTGGGCTACGTCGTACTTAGAGAGATATGATGACTGGGTGTTTGTATTTTGCCTTGGTTGTTCATTTGCTGGAGTCTGGAGTCTCTGTACGTTTTTTGTTCAGCGTGGAGTTGTTCGTGTTTACCCGTACCCTGCAATGCTGCAACGATTGGGTGGCAATTTTGTTCATCGTCTCAACGGCGATTGAGTGCTGTTTTTTGCGCGTTCGTTAAAAAAGAGGCGTTTTTTTTACTGACGATCGATCATTCGATCGAGCGTGACTGCGTGACTGCGTGAGGCCGCGAGTCGTGAGTCGATTCGAGTTTTTAGGCCTCGTTTGGCATGGGCTAAATCCGGCCCAGCCCATACATCTGTCGTACGGGAGGCCTGGGCACTTGGATGGGCCGGACTTGAGGGCCATCAAACGAGGCCTTGAGACAAACCCAAGTTTGGCGTGGGCGGAGATGCGGATCGGCGTGACCTTGCGCAGTTTCGCGGGTCCGTTGGATCGATGGAATAGCGCGATGTTCGGTGTGTACGGGTATGTTAGACAGAGATCCAACTTCTAAACTTAGTTCAGTAAGTAGTTTAGTCTGGATTAGAATTGTAGAGCAATCTAAATCTAGCTTTACCTCTCTAATTTATTTTGTAAGAGCTCGTTACCTAACGGGCCGTTCTCATTTTAGGTAAAGCTGTGATAAACAAGCCTTATACATACTCCACTAGATTCATGGGATCGGGGTGTGTGTCTCATCACACACACATGGCTCCAATAGCGCAGCAGTGTTCCTATACACGACCACATTCACACACAAAAGATCTATATATCTCAATCAACCTCATGCAAAGGAAAACATCTTACTACTACTATTATGTTTTCTAGAACTTAGCAGTAGGTCCCCTCCGTTTTAGTTTATAAGACGTTTTAACTTTGGTTAAAGTCAAACTGTTTCAAGTTTAACTGAGCTTATAGATAAATATATTAATATTTATAATACTAAATTAGTTTCATTAAATCAATAATTGAATATATTTTCATCTACCTCCGTTTTAGGTTATAAGATTTTCTAGTATTGCCAGTATTCATATAGATGTTAATGAATCTAGGCACACATATATGTCTAGATTCATTAATATATATATATATATGTAGGCAACGCTAGAAAGTCTTATAATATAAAACGAAGGAAGTAATAAATTTGTCTTGGGTTGAAAATGTTACTACTTTTTTCTATAAACTTGGTTAAACTTTTTTACCAAAGTCAAAATATCTTATAACCTGAAACGGAGGGAGTAATAGAGCCAGTGGTGTATCCAGAAATAAATAACAGTGGGTCTGAGTAAACAGTCCCCTCCTCCCATTTATATATGCTAAAAATTTTAGTGGAGTTTTCGTGGGGCTCTCATAATCTTCACGCTGATAATGGGGGCTCGAGACCCGCCACCCCATACTGGATCCGTCCCTGAGTAGAGCTGCTTGGTAGGCTGAAAACTGCGGCTACGACTGCCACTAGGACGCAGCCTTGTGTGTGTGGCACTATTGGTGCTGGCTGCAGCGCATCAGCAGAACAATCTGTTGAACAACCCCAGTACTATGTTAGATCTGTCTGACTTGCTGAGTTGGGCATGTTTAACTCGCTGCTCGGTCACCGCGGTTCGGTACTTGGCAATGGCAAATTGGCAATGTATATATAAGCATCCAATTAATGCGAGTACGTCGGGTGGTGCATCAAATTTTATCTTGGGCTCCAACTTGTGCGTTTGAGTCTTCGCCGTCGGCCCTTACCCGCGTGCGGACAAATGCCGGACCGGACTGTGCGTGTCAACGGGCGTTAATCCAGTTATATCGTCGATCTGACACTCGTATTGCGGCTCTTCTCTCGAATTAATCGGCGTCGGCGATCGATGAACACAGGTACGACTTGGCTGTAGACTGAGCTGGACTGGCTATATGTAATTACCATGCCCTTGTCTAGACGTCCAGTTTAACAACTTGCCGATCGATGTGGTCATGGAGTATATAATATAAGTTCAGAACTACTCTCAATGTCGAATGACAGCTAGCTAGCTTCGTGATCATATAAGTTGATGCATTTATTCTCTCTGTAATATTGTAATTCAGGTCAAATTAATAACTAATCAAAATTCAAACAGGTTTTTGAAGGAAACGATGCCAGCACACGTAGCACGTTTCATGCAGGAAAACATTTTCTTCTAGAGACTGCAAGAAAACAGTTTCTTAGACCGTGTGCATGCAGAAAAATTTCGGGACTTCGGTACATGCCAAAAAAATTCATGCATTATTCGATTTCTGGTCGTTGATGAACCGGGATCGATATTGGCATGTGTATATTCAGCTATGCTACATATAGCCGCTTAATTTCGTCAAAACTCAGTAAATTTGTAGAAAACATAACAATATTTTCAGAACTAAACAAACGTATTATTTAAATATATTTAATGCTAGATTTAATCAAACTAAGTTAGATTTTTGGATTTTTAGATTTGCTAAATTTTTTCTAAATTTGATTAAACTTAATAATGTTTGACTAGAGAAAAAGTGACAGCGACTTGCGATATGAAACGCATGGAGTAGTATTGTTGTGTTAATAGTTGACCGATACTCAAATTAATTAAGCAGTTAAATATTAATTATAGTTATGAACAGAGTGAGTATATGTATATTAGTACGAGCTTCCATGTTGAAGTTCTTTCTGTAAAAGTGATGATCACGATTTTCTTGTCGTTCTAAGTCAAATAGTGTCCTAAATCTGTCCTAATCAAATATTTTTAGATTTGACCATCATTTTTTTAGAAATTTGTGTAGTTTAAAATATGAATTATAAATTATAAAAATATTTGGTGAATCTAAAAATATAAATCTTATTATGTTAAACAGTTGATATACTATACTACAACTAGGGTACGATATAGCTAAAATACATCTAACGTAGTTAACTTTTTACTGCGAGAGAAATCATCGTACTATAGCACTAAAACTTTTACTATGACTACTAGGTAATGAAAAGGTGCAGGAATGAATGTTCGGGGGTGATTTTTCTGGCATTAAAGATTTTACTATGCTACCTCATAATAAAAAGGTATGGGAAGAGATATTTCAGCATGATATAGGGCTTGTTCGGCTGGCCGATACAGCCGCTGCACGTAGCCGTAGCTGCTGCAGCTGTAGACACAACACATTGTTTGTGTTGGCTGCACAACAGTGAAGTTGAGTAAAGCCGAATAGAGCCATAACTCGTGGTAACAATTTTACTGTGTGAGGAGCGTGTCGACGTTTGATGTCGCGATTCCGGTATTTACATAGTATGGGGATCGTTGGGACTAGGGTATATGCGAGACTGAGGTAAAAGAGATGGAGACAGAGATTTTTATACAGGTTCGGGCCCCTGAATTGTCAGGTAATAACCCTACATCCTGTTGGCTGAAGCCGGTATTGCTCTTATTCACCATAATCACACCAGTACAATATTTGGGGTAGCCTATCTAACTGTTGTTGACATGGCGGTCTGAAGGTCTGACTCGTAGTCGACAACAAGGTAGTCTTCCTCCTCGAGTTCGTGCCCGGCGAGATCAGAGATAGCGCTTTCGTCTCTCCTGACAGTATCCGGAGACACCGTAGGGGACTAGCCTTACTTATCCCTGAAGTCGATATCCAGCGTCTTGTCTTGGCATATGTTGGCTTGTATGTTGATCTTGTGTCTTGATCTATTGTTTCGTGTCTTCTATGGTGGATGTGTCCCCTCTCCTCCTAGGGGTCTTGTATTTATACCCATAGGTGTCCCCTTGTCCAAGTAGAACTAGGGAAACCAATATGGATACAATCCGAGTAGTACTTGTCGTTTCCATGTAGAACTCTAGTCGTCTTTCCTTATCCGGAACTCTCTCCATATGCGAAGGTTGCTTCCATATAGGATATGGTATGTGGTGGGTCCTACCGAGATTTAGTCAACTATTATGAGGTATGTGGTATCCATAACCCTAACAGTAGCCCCCGACTTCGATGCAAATGAACGAATTCATATTCTCAACCGTGCGCAGTCCTTGGAGTAACTGTTATCGAGCTAATGTGATCGTTCTCGGTGAGTTCAGAGATAACGTTAGACTTCCTTTATCAGCCTTGTGCGGGCACCTAAAGGGTTTGTCTAAGTCAATCTCCAACGTCAACCAATAAAGTACAGAGCATACGACTAAGTCTCCCGTCTTGCTGTAATCGAGAATTTGGATTGAAGTCAAGAAATTTTATCTCGGCGGGTACACCATCTCTTCATTCCATATTCCTCGTCGAGATCCACCAACCGTTCTCGAGTAATCGAGTAGGTGTAGAGTCTGCGACGGAGCCTTGTCAACATTTGTCGTACTCGCCTTAGTAGATCTTGGTGTAGAACCATAGAGACATGGAGCCTTCGATAATGTCGAATAGAATTTTCCTAAAATCAATACTCAGAAAAGAATATTAGATAAAAATAGCCCCTGAGCGAATGCTCAAAGGGTGACATGTTATAATATGTATGGAAAACCGAAAATGAATTAAACTTACAGACCAATGTTCTGTATATGAGCGTCTACTCTTTTACCGACTTCGATCAGTCAGTTTGTTGAGTTATACACTCTCCCTAGCCCCCAGCCTTGTCGTTGGAGAATCGTTCTCAGAGAATAAGGCTCTTGGACCTTTGACCTGCCTCGGTTGAACGAGCACTGATCCTAGCCCCTAGCCGTGAAGTTAGAAAACCCAATTTCCGATTACACGGCTTGGTTAATACGCACGGCGAGAACTCTTACACGACCAGATCTTACATGGTCTTTTGTCTCTACAGGATCCGACAAGGCCTTATCCGCTCTGGGCGTCCCCAGCCGAAGTTCTCTTAGGTTCCTCAGAGGCCTTGTCAAGACGGCGTAAAGGGACATGAGGATAGGTTTCAACGCTATGTGTCATCTGGGTAAGGAATCTCTGGGTAAAACACTTGGTGATATTGTGTACCTGATATCAGGGGCGGAGCTAGAGCAAAACAGAGGGTGGTGCCACTTGCTTAATTTACTCTACTTTAGATCGAGTTTAAGCTGATACGGGTGCCTAAGTTTGTATTGAGGGGGTGCATACATGGTGAAAATAGATGAGGTATAGCTAAAATAT